ATGCAACTCCTGGAACGATTCCATCAGCGCTGCCTCCAGAAAATCCTGCAAATCTCTTGGGAAGACAAGCGGACAAATGTCAGCGTGCTGGAAGAAGCAAAGACCACCAGCATTGAAGCGATGGTCCTCTGCCATCAACTCCTGGACCGGCCACGTTGTCCGGATGCCTGACCACCGTCTCCCAAAGCAGTTGCTCTACTCCGAACTCAAGAACGGAAAACGGAATGTTGGTGGGCAGGAAAAGAGATTTAAAGATGGGCTCAAAGCCAACCTTTAAAACTCTGGCATAGACATTGAGAACTGGGAAGCCCTGGCCCTTGAGCACTCCAGCTGGAGGTCAGCTGTGACCAGCAGTGCTGCAGAATTTGAAGAGGCATGAATGGAGGGTGAAAGAGAGAAACGTGCCAAGAGGAAGGCGTGTCAAGCCAACCCCGACCAGGACCGCCTTCTACCTGGAAACCAATGCGCTCACTGTGGGAGAAGATGCAGATCAAGAATAGGGCTCCACATCCACCTACGGATCTACAAGAATACTGATCATAGAAGACTATCCTACTCGTCCAACGAGGGATTGCCTAAGTAAGTAAATTATTATTATTATTATTATTATTATTATTATTATTATTATTATTATTATTCCATCTCTCCTTGTGGCTCAACGCAGGGTACAGCATGGTTAAAATAGAGATCTAATAGAGATCTAAAACACATTAAAATGCATATAGAAAGACACAAACAGATAAAATGCAGGTTAAAATTAATCGATAAAATGAAAAATAAAAAATTTCAGTGCCATTTTTTATTCCTGAAAGTCAAGGTGCAAAAGGAATTATCACCTTCTTACGAGTCAATTGATCAATAACACCAAAAACTAACAGAAATTTCTAGAATAACAATATGAAGCTAAAGAAATTGCCAGGTCAGATAGTGATATTTACATCGCATTATTATTGTGCTTGCATAACATTTTCACCTGAGCCTTTGCAATGCTAAAATTAGCCAGCTTTCTCCAGTACTAGCTTAAATGAAAAACATGAAAGGAAAGTGGTAATTCATGCAACTGTCTAACATGTAAAGGAAAAAGAGAAAGAAATAGAACCAGTCTTCATGGAACATGGGGTTTTTTATTTTCTTTACTTGTAACCAATATGGGGTCTCCGTGATTCAGTTTCCATTTCCTCCAACCATCCCAACTTGGCAGGAAGAATCCCAATCAACCATCTGTCCTGTTTCTTTTTCCTCTTCTCACTTTCTTGTTTGCTCCTTAGCTTACTCCAATGGGTGCAAACCGAGTTGAAAGTACAAATGGGTGTGCATCAACTAATGCAAAAAAGGAGGTGAAAGGAAGAAATCTAGCCCTTCCCTATGCATTATACTTATTTATTTATGCAATGCTTTTGACACAAAATAAATTTGCAGCTGCTTTTCCTCTTTTGAATGCTTTTCCATCGATATCTACATATGTAGTGTGTGTGTGTGTACATCTAGCTGTCCCCTACCATGCGTTGCTGTGGCCCAGTCTGGTGATCTGGAAAATAAAGTAATGAGAAAGTGTTGGTTTCTAATATATGCAATTTCTTTATGCTTGTGGGTAAACAGCACTTCTTGCTGTTTCTTTGTCAGTATTGATGTGGAGATTGTCTGGTTTGCCTACTCTGGAGCATGCTACTATATCTCTCTCTGTGTGAATTATTTCTATTTATCTATATCTATGGCTGGATGGCTTTTTGTCAGGAGGGCTTTGATTATGTTTTCTTGCCCTGGAGAAGAAAGTATTTTCTGTTGGTCATGGGGGTTCTGTGTGGGAAGTTTGCCCCAATTCTGTGTTGATGGGGTTCAGAATGCTCTTTGAATGTTGGTGAATTATAAATCTAAGTAACTACAACTCCCAAGTGTCAAGATTGGGTCGCCAAAGACCACCAGAAAACACAGTATTTATGTTGGTCATGGGGGTTCTGTGCAGGAGGTTTGGCCCTAGTCTATCCCTGATGAGGTTCAGAATGCTCTTTGATTGTAGGTGAATTATAAATTCCAGTAACTACAACTCCCAATTGTCAAGATCTGTTTCCTCCAAACTCCACCAGTGTTCATATTTGGGCATATTGAGTATCCATGCCAAGTTTGGTCCAGATCCATCATTGTTTGAGTCCACAGTGCTCTCTGGGTGTAGGTGAACTACAACTCCAAAACTCAAGGTCAATGCCCACCAAACCCTTCCAGTATTTTCTGTTGGTCATGGGAGTTCTGTGTGCCAAGTTTGGTTCAATGTCATCTTTTTTCTGTTGGTCATGGGAGTCCTGTGCGCCAAGATTGGTTCAATTCCATCATTGGTGGAGTTCAGAATGCTCTTTGATTGTAGGTGAACTGTAAATCCCAGCACCTACAAATCCCAAATGACAAAATCGGGTTTTGTTTTTTTTAGTGATGGTCATTCCTTGGGTTAGTAGGTGTCTTGTGGCCAAATTTAGCAGCAACTTGTCCAGTGGTTTTTGAGTTCTGTTAACCCCACAAATGAACACTACATTTTTATTTATATAGACTAGCTGTCCCTTGCCACGCCTTGCTGTGGCCCAGTCTGGTGATCTGGAAAATAATGAGAAACTGTTGGTTTCTAATATATATAATGCCCTGATGCTTGTTGTTTCTTTGTCAGTGTTTGGTTTGCTTACGCTGGAAGATGCAACATATAATTGTCCTTCTTTAGGGGCCCTTTTCAAATCTATGATACTCTATCTCTCTCTGTGTGTGAATCATATATATCTATATATATGGCTGGATGGATCTTTGTCAGGCGGGCTTTGATTACATTTTCTTGTCCTGATGAAGGGAGTTGGATTGGATGGTCTTAAGTATTTTTTGTTGGTCATGGGGGTTCTGTGTGGGAAGTTTGCCTCAATTCTGTCATTGGCGAGGTTCAGAATGCTCTTTGATTGTAGGTGAACTATAAATCTCAGCAACTACAACTCCCAAATGTCAGAGTCTCTTTCCCCCAAACTCCATCTGAGTTCACATTTGGGCATATGGAATATTTGTGCCAAGTGTGGTCCAGACCCAACATTGAGTCCACAGTGCTCTCTGGATGTAGGTGAACTACAACTCTCAAACTCAAGGACAATGCCCACCAAACCCTTCCAGAATTTTCTGTTGGTCATGGGAGTCCTGTGCGCCAAGATTGGTTCAATTCCATCATTGGTGGAGTTCAGAATGCTCTTTGATTGTAGGTGAACTGTAAATCCCAGCACCTACAAATCCCAAATGACAAAATCGGGGTTTGTTTTTTTTTTAGTGATGGTCACTCCTTGGGTTATTAGGTATCTTGTGGCCAAATTTAGCAGCAACTTGTCCAGTGGTTTTTGAGTTCTGTTAATCCCACAAATGAACATTACATTTTTATTTATATAGACTAGCTGTCCCTTGCCACGCCTTGCTGTGGCCCAGTCTGATGATCTGGAAAATAATGAGAAACTTGGTTTCTAATATATATAATGTCCTGATCCTTGTTGTTTCTTTGTCAGTGTTGATGTGGAGACTGTCTGGTTTGCTTACGCTGGAAGATGCAACATATAATTGTCCTTCTTTAGGGGCCCTTTTCAAATCTATGATACTCTATCTCTCTCTGTGTGTGAATCATATATATCTATCTATATCTATGGCTGGATGGATCTTTGTCAGGAGGGCTTTGATTACATTTTCTTGTCCTGGTGAAGGGAGTTGGATTGGGTGGCCTTAAGTATTTTTTGTTGGTCATGGGGGTTCTGTGTGGGAAGTTTGCCCCAATTCTGTCGTTGGTGAGGTTCAGAATGCTCTTTGATTGTAGGTGAACTATAAATCCCAGAAACTACAACTCCCAAATGTCAAGGTCTATTTCCCCCAAACTCCACCAGTATTCACATTTGGAATATTCGTGCCAAGTTTGGTCCAGATCCATCATTGTTTGAGTCCGAAGTGCTCTCTGTATGTAGGTGAACTACAACTCCCAAACTCAAGGTCTATGCCCACCAAACCCTTCCATAGTTTTCTGTTGGTCATGGGAGTCCGATGTGCCAAGTTTGCTTCAATTCCATCGTTGGTGGAGTTCAGAATGCAGTGTGAGAAGTTGTCGTTGGTGGGGTTCAGCATGCTCTTTGATTGTAGGTGAACTATAAATCCCAGAAACTACAACTCCCAAATGTCAATGTCTATTTCCCCCAAACTCCACCAGTATTCACATTTGGGCATATGGAATATTCGTGCCAAGTTTGGTCCAGATCCATCATTGTTTGAGTCCAAAGTGCTCTCTGTATGTAGGTGAACTACAACTCCCAAACTCAAGGTCAATGCCCACCAAACCCTTGTAGTATTTTCTGTTGGTCATGGGAGTTCTGTGCCCCAAGATTGGTTCAATGCCATAATTGGTGGAGTTCAGAATGCTCTTTGATTGTAGGTGAACTATAAATCCCAGCAACTACAACTCCCAAATGACAAAATCTTTTTTTTTTGAGTGAAGGACATACATTGGGTTGTTAGGTGTCTTGTGTCCAAATTTGGTGCCAATTGCCCCAGTGGTTTTTGAGTTTTGTGAATACCACAAACGAACATTACATTTTTATTTATATAGATTTTACTGGGTTGCTGTGAGTTTTCCTGGCTGTATGGCCATGTCCCAGAAGCATTTTTTCCTGACGTTTTGCCCACGTCCATGGCAGGCATCCTCAGAGGTTGGGGGGAGGGAGGGGTATTTTACCTTTTGAAATGATTTCAATTTACTTCTACTCAGTAGATTCTCAACCCTGAAGCATAAGCCCAAAAACCAGACTCGACTTAGGCCTGTAGACCAGAAACAAATCTTTTAAGTTACTCTTCTTCTGACCCAGGCTTGCTCTCCTGCCACAACCGGAAGTTAACTCTTTCCTTCCTGGCGGACCGCTCTAGCTTCAACCGCTTTCACTCCCTGGTTTTCAGTCACATGACCGTGGCTGTGCAATAGTCACGGAAAGCAGGGCCCTGCTTCCGCTTTCCGGCTGCCTCTCTGTCTCGACCTGCTCTATGGTCCCTGAACGCGAGGCTGCGAGGAGGATAGGAATGGGCTGGAGGCTCTTTCCGCCTGTGTAGCTTCCCCGGAGCCGGTTTCTGGGCCGCTCCTCCTGCCGCGGGGCCTCCCTCCGGGCGTCTATGGTCCACTTAAAGGGGCCGCTCGGCTTTCCAAGCTGCGGGTCCCGAAATGCTGCTGACGGTGAAGGCGCTCCAGGGCCGGGAATGCAGCCTCCAGGTGGGCCTCTCCCTTCCTTCCTTCCTTCCTTCCTTCCTTCCTTCCTTCCTTCCTTCCTTCCTTCCTTCCTTCCTCCCTCCCTCCCTCCCTCCCTCCCTCCCTCCCTCGGATCCCTGCCCTTCTGAGGCCTCTGTAGGAAAAGGGTTGGGAGAAGTGCCTCTCCATTACAGCAGACTCTCAGTTAACCAGCCCCTGTGGGGGTTGTGAGGAATGGCGTTTCTGGTTGCTTGAGAGTTACCATTAGAAGTAGGCCTAGCTCATACTATATATTATACATTTTACTGGGTTGCTGTGAATTTTCCTGGCTGGTTAGACCACACCTGGAATATTGTGTCCAATTCTGGGCACCACAATTCAAGAGAGATATTGACAAGCTGGAATGTGTCCAGAGAAGAGCAACTAAAATGATCAAGGGTCTGGAGAACAAGCCCCATGAGGAGCGGTTTAAAGAGCTGGGCATGTTTAGCCTGAAGATGAGAAGGACGAGAGGAGATATGATAGCCATGTGAGAGGAAGCCACAGAGAGGAGAGGGAGCAAGTTTGTTTTCTGCTTCCTTGGAGACTAGGACGCAGAACAATGTCTTCAAACTACAAGAGAGGAGATTCCATCTGAACATGAGGAAGAACTTCCTGACTGTGAGAGCCGTTCAGCAGTGGAACTCTCTGCCCCGGAGTGTGGTGGAGGCTCCTTCTTTGGAAGCTTTTAAACAGAGGCTGGATGGCCAACTGTCAGGGTTGATTTGAATGCAATATTCCTGCTTCTTGGCAGGGGGTTGGACTGGATGGCCCATGAGGTCTCTTCCAACTCTTTGATTCTATGATTCTATAACCCATACTATACCCTGTCACAAATTCTGTATTGGTGTTGAAATATGGTCATTAAAAGCAATTCAGGACAACTTGAACTTACACAAACCTTTCCACCCAAAAGTTGATTTGATTTTCTTAATTCTAAAGGATTATTTCTTTGATTTGTTTTGGTCAGTTGCTTGATTCCCAGTTACCTGAAAATCTATTGTCTCTATTTTTAAAAGACTGTCTGAGATCCCTTCTCATGAAATCGATTTAATTTGCTTTGAACTGGTTATATGTCAGTGTAGACTCATATCATCCAGTTCAAAGCGGATCTTCTGGATTATATAATAATAATAATAATTTTATTTTATTTATTTGTCATGTCAGGGCAACCAGTCAATTATATTACATTTCTAACAGAACAAAGCAAACAAACAGACAGAATACAAAATTTGTGAGTTTGGTAGTTGATTAATCGTAATTAATTTGGTAGTTGTGCCTTTCACCTTAAGAACAGACAAGCATCCCGAGCTCTGAGGATTACCTGGGAAGGAATCCCACTGGAGCATTGCAGCGCACCCAAATACCTGGGAGTCACTCTGGACCGTGCTCTGACCTACAAGAAGCACTGCCTGAACATCAAGCAAAAAGTGGGTGCTAGAAACAATATCTTACGAAAGCTGACTGGCACAACCTGGGGATCACAACCAGAAGGCGACTCACGCGGTTCACAACCAGTAAAAACAGTAGAAACAGCATTGCAACAATAACAATTGACTTAACACATTATCCATAAATTACCAATAAGCAATTACAATGCACAATTATTACAAAAAACAACCGTACCCAATCTTCTCATCATCCAAGCGTAGTCCAGGTTCGTCGTCCATTGTTCCATTCCTATGTTCCATTACCAGATTGCACTAAATTACTCAAACTCATATGAAAGCTGACTGGCACAACCTGGGGACCACAACCAGACACAGTGAAGACATCTGCCCTTGCGCTTTTCTACTCTGCTGCTGAGTACGCATGCCCAGTGTGGAACACTTCTCACCACGCTAAAACAGTAGATGTGGCTCTTAATTTATTATTTATTTATTTATTTACTTTATTTGTATATCGCTCTTCTCAGCCCTTAGGCGACTCAGAGCGGTTTACAACAGTTTAGATATACAGAATACAAAATCATTATGCATTTAAAAACAATTATTAGTATTATATTGCATTACATTACAATATTATTAATATTATATGTATATACAATATATTATATTATAACATATTATTAGAATAGCACAGGAGACGAGGTGGAACTGTCCCCTGGCCCCTCTTTCTTCGCTCTGGCCCAGAGCGGCAGTTGGTGCTGGGGGGAGACATGCCGCATTATCACGGGGTGTCTGCGCCCTACACCACTGGAGAAATTACACTGTTTAGCCGGTACTGCACCACCTGACATCCACCGGGAAGTAGCAACCAATAGTGAAAGGACCAAGGCAATGACATCTCCAGTTCATCCCCTGTTTGGGTATCAGCCAGCACGTCAACGACTTAAATCAAGAAACAGTTTTCTAAGATCTACAGAGACACTCACTGGAATACCTCAGCAAGCGAGAGTCCAAAAGTGGCAGGCTCAAACCCAGAACCTCAATCAATGGCTGGTACCAAATGAGAGACTTCCCCCTGGGCACACAGAGGACTGGGCAACTTGGAAGACGCTGAACAGACTGTGCTCTGTGCTCTAGTACCACGAGATGCAGAGCCAACCTTAAGAAATGGGGCTACAAAGTGGAATCCATGACATGCGAGTGTGGAGAAGAGCAAACTACAGACCACCTACTGCACATTTAGGACATTTATAGTAACACCAGAGCCCTGCTACATGCACAACGGAGGACCTTCTTATAGTAACACCAGAGGCACTCCAAGTGGCCAGCTACTGGTCAAAGGACATTTAATCAACTACCAAGCCTGCAAACTTTGTGTTTTGTTTGTTTGTTTGTTTGTTTAAAATGCAATACAACTGTTTGGTTTGCTCCTGACATGATAAATAATAACGAAAATACAGATCCCAGAATTCCTCTTGGCTTTAAGTGGACTCAAAGTGTTATAACTGCATTGGGTGAAAGAGCCCAATATCAACCTTCTCCCAACGTACCCTCTCTTTGCTTCCCAGGTCTCACCAGAAGAACGCATCTCTTCTCTCAAACGCCTCGTATCAGAGAAGCTGAATGTCCCAGTATCCCAACAGCGCCTGCTTTTCAAAGGCAAAGCTCTGGCTGGTGAGTACTGGGGAATATTTGGAAGTAAAATAGAAATCAAGCAATATCATCATGTTTGGGAGGAAGAGTAGCATTCATTCCAAAGTCTATGATTGCTCCCTTTAAGGAGGAAATCAAGCTTCGTTGTTGGCTATTTTAGTACCATATTTCACCAATCCTAAGGCACACTTTTTCCCATTGTAGAGACTCCAAAAATGTGTTGGGTCTTACAGTCAGTGGCAACATAGATTTATCATTCCAGCTTTTTTTAATTGTCTTATTTCTAAGAGGGGGGAGGAGGAAGGGCTCCATCACCCCCAGTTTTGTCTATAGCCTCAGCCAGAGGGCTGTTTACCAGTCTGACTGAGCTAAACACTCCTTCCTGCTTTACCTGGCTCCCAAATGGGCCCAAACAGCTACTAAAAAGCCTCATTCAGACAAGAGGACTTTCAGGTTGAAATAAAAACAATATATTGTTCATGCAGAGAAAATTCTGAAAAATATTCAAAGCATTTCTTTCAATAATTGGAGTTTCAAAAGCTGGGAGGTGCTTATATTTGATGGCGCCTTATATGTGCTAGTTGGGCCCAAACAATGCAACTCTCGGCCAGCCTTCCGAAATTAAATTGTATGGATGTAGAAGTGTTCATTTCCAAGATGAAACCCATAATGCATTAACCAAATGGAGAGTTTAAATCAACCATTACAAGCCTGAGAAAAGTAAGACCTAAAATATTCTTGGGATAACCATTTAAGCTTCTGATTAAATATGAAGGAAGAATGCAACAAACAAGTTACAACTTGTCAAACCATGTAAAACAATAAACATACTAATTTGGAGAGGTTTTAGAAAATAATACACAAGGCACTGAAAGTAAGGAAGATAACAGATGACCACATTTGAGGAAACAGGATAGAAAAAGCAACAAATGAATCATATATGAGTGGTAGGTAAGAAGAGGATTTTAGAACAATTGCCATTTTGGATCCTTTGCAATAAGGCAGAGAGAGAAAACACCATTTTGTTTTCACTCCATGGTGAGATTTGTTTTCATTATGTTGAATCTGTGTGGTTGCACATCACACTCAGGCTTTGAAGTCACACCCGTATCAGGTGCCAAAATAATGTGTTTATTCTTGGGTAAGAATCCTAGTGGGTAACCTTTTTAAAGTCACACTTTCTCAAGCTCAGAAGAAGGCAAAGACAAGACCCCGCTGAATAATTCTTGCCAAGAAAACCCTGTGACAGAATTGCCATAAATTAGAAACATCTTGAAGGGACAGGAGATAGTAATAATAATAACAACAACATTACACAGTCCTAGACATTGGGAAGTGTTCGACTTGCGGTTTTGTGATATGATCTCATTTGCTGTGACATACTGTGCTTTTGTGTCTATAACAACAACAACTTTATACTCCGCCACCATCTCTCCAAAGGGGACTTGGAGCGGCTTACATGAGGCCAAGCCCAGCGATAAATGGGGTCGATAGGGTTGCTTTGCAACTTTGAAGAAGGGGTTATAGCTGAGGAAGCCATATCGTAGGTTTATTATTATTATTATTATTATTATTATTATTATTATTGAGAGAGTTGACAACTGAATTAAGGAGACTTTCTAGGAGTGTTGAATGTGTGGGTCATTTTTCTAATTCTTTTCAAAAGTCCACTCGTCCTTATTAGCTTTGAACTCTCAAGCAGTGAGTTTCATGGCTTTTATGTAGAAAAGAGCAGCCTGATATTTGCTAATAATAATAATCATCATCATCATCTTTATTTATAATCCGCCACCATCTCCCCAAAGGGGACGGCTAACATGAGGCCAGGCCCAAAATAATACAACATAATAAACACACAGTAACAAAATACATCATAACAAAACATGAAATAACAAATAAAATCAACAATATAAAACTGCATAATAAAATCAGACACAGAGGGCGGGCCAAATGTATGAGAAAATGTTAAAAAGTTAAAACTATGGGTGAGATGGAGATGAAAAAGCATTTGTAAGAGAGGAGCCCAACAGGGAGGAGCCGTGGGATTTAGCCATTTTAGGGCAGGAAAGGTGCTTTATTCTGAGGGCAGCTATAGACTAAAACAACCAGATGGGTTGAGTGGTCACTCTCCGAATGTGTTGGCCAACGAGGATAGTTTAATGGATTTAGAAAGTGACTTGGACGAGCCTGGACACCATGAGTAAGCTTCCTAGAGTTGAAAACTCTGAAAGGATTTCTTTTATTATGTGTGTTACATGTTCAGAGGACTTACTCGTATGGTATGCCATGAAGGCATTGTTTTTATTCATACTTCTGCTAATGGATTGGAACTTGTGGATATAATTTAATTCTTTTCATGATCTTCCTTTATAATTTCCTTGTTAAAGGATCGCAGCTTGTAAATCTCTTACTGTATGTCTGGCAAGGGTTGAAATGTTCTGCAATTGGTTTTTGGGAATTGCCACTTCTAATGTCAGATCTGCATCTATTAATCCTCTTGCGTAGCGAGTGTCCTGTTTGTCCAACATAGAGCAATTAGGGCATCGCTGGAATCGGATGGCACATATTACATTGGAGGAGGAGCAAGTAAGGGCACTTCTGATGTTGTGTGTGATGAGAAATCTTCAAGATAACCTGAAATTAACAGCCCTGCTCACATCTTGGAGACTCAGGACTGCGACTTCCTTGACTGAATCTATCTATCTGTAATGGGGTGTTTCTCTTTTCCTGCTGCCTCCCAGTTTATCGGGTAATCTCATTTTTTTCTAATGAGTCACGTGTTATCACAACCTGGGGATCACAACCAGACACAGCGAAGACATCTGCCCTTGTGCTATGCTACTCTGCTGCTGAGTATGAATGCCCAGTGTGGAACACATCTCACCACGCTAAAACAGTGGATGTGGCTCTTAATGAGACATGCCGCATTATCACAGGGTGTCTGCGCCCTACAGAAATTACACTATTTAGCCAGTATTACACCACCTGACATCTGCCAGAAAGTAGCAGCCAATAGTGAAAGGACCAAGGCAGTGACATCTCCAGCTCATCCCCTGTTTGGGTATCGGCCAGCATGTGAGAAGAAGTCACAGGGAGGAGAGAGCAAGCCTGTTTTTTGCTTTCCTGGAGACTAGGACGCGTAACAATGGCTTCAAACTACAAGAAAGGAGATTCCATCTGAACATTAGGAAGAACTTCCTGACTGTGAGAGCTATTTAGCAGTGGAACTCTCTGCCCCAGAGTGTGGTGGAGGCTCCTTCTTTGGAAGCTTTTAAACAGAGGCTGGATGGCCATCTGTTGGGGGTGCTTTGAATGCAATTTTCCTGCTTCTTGGCAGGGGGTTGGACTGGATGGCCCATGAGGTCTCTTCCAACTCTTGATTCTATGATTCTCTAAATCAAGAAATAGTTTTCTAAGATCTACAGAGACACTCGCTGGAACACCTCAGCAAGTGAGAGTCCAAAAGTGGTAGGCTCAAACCCAGAACTTCAATCAATGGCTGATACCAAATGAGATACTCCCACTTGGGCACACAGAAAACTGGGCGACTTAAAAGGTGCTGAACAGACTGTGCTCTGGCACCACGAGATGCAGAGCCAACCTAAGGAAATGGGGCTACAAAGTGGAATCCACGACATTCGAGTGTGAAAAAGAGCAAACTACAGACCACCTGCTGCAATGCAGCCTGAGCCCTGCTACATGCGCAATGGAGGACCTTCTTATAGTAACACCAGAGGCACTCCAAGTGGCCAGCTACTGGTCAAAGGACATTTAATCAACTATCAAGCTTGCAAACTTTGTGTTTTGTTTGTTTGTTTGTTAAAAAATGCAATACAACTGTTTGGTTTGCTCCTGACACGATAAATAAATAAATAAATAATATGTTCTCATGATATGACTAAAGTACAACAGCCTAAGTTTTGTCATTTGACTTTTAGAGAAAGCTGTTCCCGTACTGTAAACAGTTGTATATCCTGTTGGAAAATTCAGCCTTCAGGTCCACATGAAAACCAGGCACCTGGGTGCAAGTGAGACTGCTCTCCTTGGATGGCAACTGACCACTCAACCTTATTGTGTTCCCTTTTCAGATGAACACCGTTTGTCTGATTATTCTATTGGACCAGAGTCAAAGCTCAATCTTGTAATCAAGCCACCGGAGAAGGCCTCACCAGAAGAGCCCAGCCGTAGAGGAGGCTTCCCGCAGAATCCTGCAATCTGGCATGCACTTGCCCAAGTCTTGGGCAGGCATTTCAGTGGGGCTGATGCTGAGAAGGTGTTGGAGCAACTGCAGAAGGTAAGTACATATGGTATGTGGAAACATCCTCTGGTGGGGCATTATTGACTCTTCTGCCACTTCTGCAGCATGGTCTTACAGGGCTTTATTTAGAATCACAATGATAATTTTCTGTATTATGTTGAACTGTGATTCCCATTGTTCCTCACCACTGGCTGTAAGAATGAATGGTTGTAGCAGTACGTGTGAAAAAGATCTTGGAGTCCTCGTCGACAGCAAGTTAAACATGAGCCAGCAATGTCATGTGGCGGAAAAAAAAGCCAATGGGATTTTGGCCTGCATCCATAGGAGCATAGTGTCTAGATCTAGGGATCTAGGGAAGTAATGCTACCCCTCTATTTTGCCTTGGTTAGACCACACCTGGAATATTGTGTCCAATTCTGGGCACCACAATTCAAGAGAGATATTGACAAGCTGGAATGTATCCAGAGGAGAGCAACTAAAATGATCAAGGGTCTGGAGAACAAGCCCTATGAGGAGCGGCTTAAAGAGCTGGGCATGTTTATCCTGAAGAAAAGAAGACTGAGGAGACATGATAGCCATGTATAAGTATGTGAGAGGAAGTCATAGGGAGGAGTGAGCAGGCTTGTTTTGTGCTGCCCTGGAGACTAGGACGTGGAACAATGGCTTCAAACTACAAGAAAGGAGATTCCATCTGAACATGAGGAAGAACTTCCTGACTGTGAGAGCTGTTCAGCAGTGGAACTCTCTGCCCTGGAGTGTGGTGGAGTCTTCTTCTTTGGAAGCTTTTAAACAGAGGCTGGATGGCCATCGGTCAGGAGTGCTTTGAATGCAATTTTCCTGCTTCTTGGCAGGGGGTTGTACTGGATGGCCCATGAGGTCTCTTCCAACTCCATGATTGCAAATAATTAGGGGTCATAGAATAATAAAATACAGGAAAAGCACAAAGTATTCACGACAGATGGCCATCCAGCCTCTGTTTAAAAGTTTCCAAGGCAGATGGATTTATGCCCTGATTCTATGAGATATTTTGGCCCGTGGGTTCCACAGTAATTGATTATTAGCTGTGCTGCAACAATGTGTTAGGAATTGTAGGCTATGTGTTAACTTATGTTGTTGACTGCAACTTCCATAATTTGTGACTTTAAATAAGTGGTTTTCGACCTGTGGATCCCCAGGTGTTTTGGCCTACAACTCCCAGAAATCCCAGCCCAGGGATGTAGCCTGGGCACCACAATTCTGGGCACCACAATTCAAGAGAGATATTGACAAGCTGGAATGTGTCCAGAGGAGAGCAACTAAAATGATCAAAGGTCTGGAGAACAAGCCCTATGAGGAGCGGCTTAAGGAGCTGGGCATGTTTAGTCTGAAGAAGAGAAGGCTGAGAGGAGATATGATAGTCCAGTGGTTGTCAACCTGGGGTCCCCAGATGTTTTTGACCTTCAACTCCCAGAAATCCTAACAGCTGGTGAACTGGCTGGGATTTCTGGGAGTTATAGGCCAAAAACATCTGAGGACCCCAGGTTGAGAATCACTGTGATAGCCATTTATAAATATGTGAGAGGAAGTCACAGGGAGGAGGGAGCAAGCTTGTTTTCTGCTTCCCTGGAGACTAGGACACAGAACAATAGCTTCAAACTACAAGAAAGGAGATTCCATCTGAACATTAGGAAGAACTTCCTGACTGTGAGAGCTGTTCAGCAGTGGAACTCTCTGCCCCGGAGTGTGGTGGAGGCTCCTTCTTTGGAAGGCTTTTAAACAGAGGCTGGATGGCCATCTGTCAGGAGTGCTTTGAATGCAATATTCCTGCTTCTTGGCAGGGGGTTGGACTGGATGGCCCATGGGGTCTCTTCCAACTCTATGATTCTATGACACACCTCCATTTCAAATGTTTCAAATGCAATGCTTTTGGGTTTGGAAAGATTATTATTATTATTATTATTATTATTATTATTATTACAACTTTATTTGTACCCCACTAGCATCTCCCGAAGGACTCGATGCGGCTTACAAAGGCCAAGGCCTCAAAACACAACATAACAATACAACACCTAAAGCAAATTAAAAACAGTTAAAGCAGTATGAACAACAACAATAAAACAATACATCAAAACACTATAAAACTGGGCCGGGCCAGAGATTAGCCGCTTAAAAGAAACGTTGCTCGGGGGACACCCGACTGTATTTACTCAGTCTTCGAGGAGGCTCTTTTCGTGTCCCCCATGTTCTGTTTTTATCAGTTTTATACTAATTTGTGCAATGCTTTTGATACGAAATAAATAAATAAATCTTCTGTATTGTCTATCTAACTCTTCTCTCTCTTTCCCATCTATAGGATTATGAGCGAAGCCTCAGACTGCTAAGTTTGGATGACATTGAGCGCCTAGCCACTCGTTTGCTTCACCCCGAGGTTGCTGAGGCAGTAGAAATGGGCTTTCTGGATTAGGTGCCAATTTGGGCACCTTAGTCCTGTCTTCCTCTTCGGACAGAGAACCCCGGGGCAGGGCCCAGTTTGGGGCATGGGAGCATTCCCTCTGGACTGCTGTGGAAGGGGCCTAGAGCACCTGTAACACCTCCCCGTCCATTAAAGGTGGTGGGTGAATATTGGTCCGCTCTGTCTAGTGTCTTCAGCTCAAGTGGAGGAATAATGATTACAGGGAAGGGTTATTTGCCCAGGATGGAGACATGCAGCTGCCTTTGGGGTTGGTGGTAGCTGTGTTTATTCATGTATTTCTTATGTCCTCCAAAGCTCTGGTTTCTCTTCAAATCGTATAAATATATCACCAAGATTTGGTTGCATCCAGTGAATTATATCCACTGATTTAGTCCGTCACCAAAATGAAGATCGGCAGACGTTACAGATGAAAAATCGAATTTGAATAATACACATTTAAAATATAAACATTGGAAACCTTAGTCCTGGTAATCTCTGGCCTGAGAGCATTAACATCAGGAATATCATATTGTTCAGAAATCCAAGTTTTAGATGAGACAAACTTTTATCCAATACGTTAGTTTGTTTTTTATTACAATCTGTATGCAAATGTTTAAAAATATACACAGCTGAAGCTGCACATGCTGTGATTGTATAGTACAGTCAGCCCTACACATTTGCTGGACCCTTTCTCAAAATGGAGAAAAATGCAAATAACTTTTTTTTTAATGTGAGAAAATTTCTCTAGGAATTACGAGGCTCACCAGCATAACTCTGTGGTCGATTTTAATCAAATCTGAATAAACCCACAAAACCTGCAAATGTGGAGGGCTGTCTGTATTTAAAAAATTATTCCAAAAATAGGATTAAATTAACTTCTTTGACTCCAGTGGGAAAATACAACATGAAGGTTGCCTCCTGTGTAACTGCTGCTACATATATATTTTTAACCCTTCTTCCATATTGAGAATAGTTTGAATGCTGCGGCTGTTCTGTGGATGTAATTGTGGTACTGTAGCTCCTCTCCTGTGGAAATGTGAATTTGTCAGTCAGCACATAATATTCAACATTATTAGAACCATAATCAAGGCCTGCCTAATAGGCATGTGCAATCCATGCTTCTAAATGGTTCTAAAGTACTTACAAAACTAAAATTCTGGTGGTGAAAACTAGGGGGCGCTGGTGCTTTGCTTCTACAGTGTTACTAAAGCTCTGGCGATGAAAATTTCAGAACTCTAACAAAACTTTCAAAATTTTATTATTTCACTAGCTGTCCCCTGCCATGCGTTGCTGTGGCCCCATGGGGGTTCTGTGTGGGAGGTTTGGCCCAATTCTATCATTGGTGGGGTTCAGAATGCTCTGTGATTGTAGGTAAACTATAAATCCCAGCAACTACAACTCCCAAATGTCAAAATTCTATTTTCCCCAAACTCCACCAGTGTTCACATTTGGGCATATTGAGTATTCGTGTAGAGTTTGGTCCAGATCCATCATTGTTTGAGTCCACAGTGATCTCTGGATGTAGGTGAACTACAACTCCAAAACCAAAGGACACTGCCCACCAAACCCTTCCAGTATTTTTTGTTGATCATTTTTCAGGCTATATGGCCATGGTCTAGAGGCATTCTCTCCTGGCGTTTCGCCTGCATCTATGGCAAGCATCCTCAGAGGTAGTTATTAGTATTTCGGTTACTTCTACCCCGCCCTTCTCATCCCAGAGGGGGACTCGGGGCGGCTTACAAAGGCACAATTCGATGCCGGCATCAACATAACAGTAGAATAAAAACAATATAACATCAATTAACAGTTAAACAACCATTCCTGCATTACAACAATAAAACCAGTAAAACCAATAAAACCAATATAAACCCAATTACTCCTCATTGACGGTCAGCGTTCGCTATCTCATAGTCCAAATTCCAATTCCACATTGTCAGTCCTGTCAGTCCTAATCGTCTGAGTGTCCTTATCTAGTTGTCAGATTGCCCAAAGGCCTGGTCCCACAACCACGTCTTTACTTTCCTCCTGAAGGAGAGGAGGGATGTTGATGCCCTAATTTCCCGGGAGCGAGTTCCACAGGTGAGGGGCCACCACTGAGAAGGCCCTGCTCCTCGTCCCCACCAACCTCACTTGTGATAGCGGTGGGGTCGAGAGCATCTCAAATTCCGGTAGTGAGGATGCTTGCCATAGATGCATAGACCTCACTACCTCCAGAACATGGCCATATAGCCCGGAAAAACCTACAACAACCCAGTGATTCCGGCCATGAAAGCCATCAGCAATACCTTCCAGTATTTTCTGTTGGTCATGGGAGAACTGTGTTCCAAGTTTGGTTCAATTCCATCGTTGGTGGGGTTCAGAATGCTCTTTGATTGTAGGTGAACTATAAATTCCAGTAACTACAACTCCCAAAAGACAAAATCAATTTTTTTGAGTGAAGGACATACATTGAGTTGTTAGGTGTCTTGTGTCCAAATTTGGTGTCAGTTCGTCCAGTGGTTTTTGAGTTCTGTGAATCCCACAAACGAACATTACATTTTTATTTATATAGATTATTATTTTTATGACAGAACCAATTAGAAACTGCCATTTATAATGAAATTTTGAAAGTTTTGTTAGAGTTCTGAAATTTTCACCACCAGAACTTTAGCAACACTGTAGAAGCAAAGCACCAGCGCCCTCTAGTTTTCACCACCAGAACTTTAGTTTTGTAAGTACTTTAGAATAATTTAGAACCATGCCTACTGCCTAACATTGAATGCAGTCCTAATCTTCAAGTCTTGTGTCCCTGTCCAAGAAGACACAAATTATCCTGATTGGCCTGATGATGAGTTTGTGAAAAACGCACAAGAGATGCATTCCCAACCTGTATTCATGGAACATTTGAATTGTATGGAAGGTCTTCCATTTATAGGACAAACACAGTCTCCAAATAGTCCAAATAGTGTTGCTGTGTGCCTTCAAGTTGTTTCCGCCTCAAGGTGACCATGGGTTTCTTGGCAAGATTTGCTCAGAGGAGGTTTGATTTTGTCCTCCTCGGGAGGGCAACTTGCCCAAGGTCATCCATTGGGTTCCCATGGTTGAGTTGGGATTGGAATCTGTGTCTTCTGAGTCCAACACTCAAACCACAACACCAGATGGGCTTATCTAGCCTCTAATAGACATGAGAACTTCTATCAGGCAGTAGTTAGTAGTGGGTTATATAGCATTTGGGGAAGATATCTGGGCATCTACTCAGAAGCTCTTGGATTCAAGCAACTGAAAGGGACCAAATGGCTTCTCGGTATGTTTTGTACAACGGCAAACTACACGTGGAAGTTTGTTTGTTTGTCGTGTCAGGGCAACCATTCAATTATATTACATTTCTAACAGAACAAAGCAAACAAACAGACAAAATACAAACTGTGTGAGTTTGGTAGTTGATTAAATGTCCTTTGACCAGTATTTGGCCACTTGGAGTGCCTCTGGTGTTGCTGCAAGAAGGTCCTCCATTGTGCATGTGGCAGGGCTCAGGTTGCAGTGCAGCAGGTGGTCTGTGGTTTGCTCCTTTCCACACTCATATGTCATGGATTCCACTTTGTGGCCCCATTTCTTGAGGTTGGCTCTGCATCTTGTGGTGCCAGAGCGCAGTCTGTTCAAGTCGCCCAGTTTTCTGTGTGCCCAGGGGGAGTCTCTCATTTGGTATCAGCCATTGGTTGAGGTTCTGGGTTTGAGGTTCTGGGTTTGAGCCTGCCACTTTTGGACTCTCGCATGCTGAGGTGTTCCAGCGAGTGTCTCTGTAGATCTTAGAAAACTATTTCTAGATTTAAGTCATTGACGTGCTGGCTGATACCCAAACGGGATGAGCTGGAGATGTCTCTGCCTTGGTCCTTGTGGAGGTGCTTGTAGTTTTTGTTGCCTCAAGTGTCAAGATGGCCTTGAGATACTAGGCATCTTCATGGGGGTGGAAGGTATGTTGCCTCAGGCAGCCAAATCTCTTGGGATGGCTTTGCCAAGAATCATTAGGTAGCAGCAATCTCAAGAGCTGAGGCAGAAGGGGAATTTTGTGAGGAGGAGGAGCAAGAAGAAAATCCTTTCGGATTCCTCATCACACCGTGAGCTTCCAACGATTTTGAACAAGAATTTGTATTTCTCAGTTGAAGAGCCAGCAAGATTAGTTCAGACTTCTGATATGCTTCCCCGATGTCAGACGAGTGTCCCCGAAACTCTATCTCCCCAGTGTACACGGTAATATCTTAGTAATCCGTTTCTGTCCTTTTGAGACAGTGCCTTTTCCGTATCTGTGCCGGCTGCTCAGAAGAACTTGTGGTGTCTTGCCTTATGCACAAGAATTCGTATTTGAGGTGCACGAGGAGAGAAGTCTTCTCGAGGCATCGTTATAGTTTCTCATACAGGGGCAGGAATTCAAGAACTTTTTGTACTAGGTTTGGAGCGAAACTGCTAAAGTTTTATAGTAAAGGCAGAGGGAACTCAGAGCTTCCACTGCAGCCCACTTTTGGCATCAGAGCTGCAAGTTCTCTATTTCCAACCATGTTTTCCCCCCTGTGTTTTCCTTTCAAGATAAGACAAAGCTGTGCAACCTTAGTGGATGTGCTTGTTTTGTGTCCCATCTGCAGATCTGTGTAACTGGGCTTCACCTGCTGTGCGGGGAGAAAATGATTTACTTGTTGAAACACGGAAGCAGTCAAAACAAAATTCTGAATCGTGGTTGAGAATTATTGGACGTACAGTTGTTTTTGACTGCAGGTCCCATAATGTTGCTGTTTCCATGCTACATGCAGCCTATGCGAGTTGTAGGTGTAAACATCTGGAGGATTCACAGTTTCTGACCTATTTTAGATTGAAATCTATAACTCAAGCTCAAACATTTTGATATGACAATTCTGCAAAATATCTGAATTGGAGAATATTCCTTTCGACCAGCTGTTTTCGGCCTCCCAACTCCCAGAATTCCTGGCATTGGACAAGCTGGCTGTTGGAGGCCAAAACAGTTCTGGCCCAGCTTGCTTGTCCGAACGTATCTTCCTCTATATCCCACCTCGAAATTTACGATCTTCCGGGGAGGGCCTGCTCAGCGGTGGCCCCCCGCCTATGGAACTTTCTCCCCAGCGAAATTAGGTCAACGGCTTCCCTCCTTTCCTTCAGGAAATAGTTGAAGACGTGGCTATGGGACCAGGCATTCGAACGTATCTTCCTTGTCCAAACGTATCTCCATGTCCCACCTCGAAATTTACGATCTTCCGGGGAGGCCATGCTCTCGTTCCCACCTTTGTCACAAATGCGCTTGATGGGGACGAGGGATAGGGCCTTCTCGGCAGTGGCCCCCTGCCTATGGAACTTTCTCCCCAGCAAAATTAGGTCAATG